CTTCTCCGCCTTGCGACATGTGACTGGCTTCCCCGAGTCCCGCGCCACAAGCTGCCCGAGTGATCTTCGGCGACTCGGTTATCTTGTCTTAATCCTAGTGAACTTCAATATACTTTTTGTTCATCCTTAATTTTTGCTTTCAATTTGAGGTCTTGATTTGCGCCACCATCGCACTCTATCTAATCATTCCCTTCTCGCCATGGCTTCAGCCGGTGGCCGAAGATGGCAGCAGTTCTTCCAAGAAATGGTGATGGTTGCAGGCACTGTGAGAATGTTCCTATTTCAGATAGGACCGAATGCTTCTGACACTATTATAGTCTGCGTCTGCATATTTCCTTATTCGCTACCTTCTATCACGCCTTGATTTCGACCCAGAGAGCCAGAAGAAGGAGGAACAACGACAGAAGTCCGCCGCCATCATACGCCGACTGGAAGGTGGGAATGAATCGGATGATGAGACGCCACGGAAAGGTGCCAAACGGGAGAAAGGGCAACGAAAGAAAGAGCTCACATTGAACCAATACGAACAAGCGATTGCAATGGATGTTGTTGCGCCAGAGGATATCCCAGTGTCATTTGAAGATATCGGAGGACTTGATGAAATCATCGAGGAATTGAAGGAATCGGTCATTTACCCACTGACGATGCCTCATCTCTACGCTTCCACGTCGTCTTTGTTGACCGCGCCTTCTGGGGTCCTCTTATATGGTCCGCCTGGCTGCGGAAAGACCATGCTTGCCAAAGCTCTAGCATCAGAGAGTGGAGCATGCTTCATCAACTTGCACATCTCAACATTGACAGAGAAGTGGTACGGCGACTCAAATAAATTGGTCAATGCAGTGTTCTCACTTGCGCGCAAATTACAGCCTGCCATCGTCTTCATTGATGAGATTGATGCTGTTCTTGGAACCCGGCGAAGTGGTGAGCATGAAGCAAGTGGTATGGTGAAGGCAGAATTCATGACTCATTGGGATGGTCTCACATCGGCAAATTCGACGGGAGAGCCCCAGCGGATTGTTGTCCTAGGAGCGACCAACCGCATTCAAGACATTGATGAGGCCATTCTCCGAAGAATGCCTAAGAAGTTCCCCGTGACCCTTCCTCCCATTGCCCAGCGCCTTCGCATTCTCAGCCTGATTCTCAAAGACACTAAAGTTGATCGCGATAATTTTGATCTGCACTATCTTGTCAAGACTATGGCCGGTATGTCCGGTAGCGATATCAAGGAAGCATGCCGAGACGCAGCGATGGTTCCTGTGCGGGAGCTTATTCGAGCCAAAAAGGCTAGCGGGATGCAAATGGATGCAATGGATCCCCAAGAAGTTCGTGGTCTTCGCACGGAAGATTTCTTCTCTCGCGCCGGTGGTATCAAGGTCATTCCTCAGCCTGCTCCATTATCCACCCCAACCGACAAAGTCTCCGAGAAGGAAGATGGAGACTGGAGTACTGCGTCTGAAGCCACATCAGAAGCTGAAACTCGACACTCTGTGATGGCTGAGCCGCCAGAGTAAATGTGAGGCACTTTCTGTCCCCTTGTTCATATTTATTCTCCCCTTGTCCCGCAGCGCGAAGACTTGGCGTAATCTACTGGAAATGCCAGACATCTTTGGTTTATGGGTCTTTTGTTCTAGTATGGCTGGCTTGTTGATAGAGTTTCTGATGTCATATGTACAATGGGTTCGGATACAACAATCTAATACAAATCTTGCTTTCTAATTACTCTGTAATTGTGTTCTTATTCCTTTGATCGAAATTTATATGTGGAGCAAGCAGACTCGGGGCCGACAAAGTACCGGGTACATAAGAATAGGTGGCCTTGACCGGGCAACGTCATGTACCGCTACTTTGCCGAGCGGCGAAGTCACCTGCCAAAGACTTGCATTACCGTGAGCATTCTACTTCCTTGTACTCTGTACTCCGCCTGTACAGACGTAACAACATAATTCTGTCTCTTAAACTCTTCTAACTTTTCTAACTCTTTTAACTCTTCTAATTCTTATAATTCTCGTGGACAATTGTCCTCTTAATTTACTCCGCGTTCAAAAGGTGCGGGTCGTTATCGTCACGCCTCCTTGGCCTCCTATCGGCCATCCTCCCTCACCTCACTCTCTTGTCTTCCATATCTTCCAAAGGTTCCTTGTTGGGACTCTTTACTTTATATCTTGGACGAATACCTGAATATATGAGCAAACATATCCTGCAGTGCTCCCAGTCAATAGGCCACGAATGCGAGTCTGGGGGTGGATGACGAATGGGTCTCTCCTAGATCAACTCTGATGGCAACTGGTGCCTTGGCGGTACACACTTCTAAGGGGGCTTTTATTTTGCATCCTTAGACCCATTTGCTGGATTCACAGGAATGAGTTCTCAAAATAGCTTTGCCAATGCTTCCCCAAGCTCCAACACACTCAGCGCAAGCACAACTTCAACCTCTACGGTTCGATCGCGTCCTCGCCGCTTAGTTTCATTCATGGACGACGAAGACGACAGCAATAATGTTACGAACTACTCCTACCAGGACGATGCCCAACCCTTTTCCTCGGGGGTCTCAACGACTCTTGCGCCCTCCGAGGGTGGAACGACTCGGTCCCGCGGAGCGACTCCCTCGCCATTGTCATCCCGTGGAGCGTCACCACTTCCATTGAAGCACCTATCACGCGCGACCGAATCGATGAATCGTGGTACTCGCAGTGGGCCAACATCGTTTCCTTGGAGTGGATCATCAAAGGCCTCATCGTCGGGAGGTGCTGCGGACTTTCTGGACTCCTCATGGTCCTCTCTTCAAAGCCTGGCATCTTCGGTACTAGGGAGTGATGCTGGACAGGTCACTCTGAATAATGTGGCAAAGTCACACACGCGAAGGAAACCATCTCGGTCTGACGTATATATCAAGAGTGCCCCCAGGTCGACATGGGGTCCATCGGCACCGACCGCTCCGCAGTTCGGAACCGGGACAAAGGAGGAGCGACAGGCTTTGGTGCAGGCCAAAAAGAGAGAAGCGCTCCTCCTCGCTGATACTGATCCGATCGCAAGCCCTACGCTCCCTCATAAAAGACGCGACTCTGGCGACATTTCATATCGTGTGTTTGAGCCGGAGCATGATGAAGACGCTCTGGCCTATATCCACAAAGTGCAACCCACGGACACTATCACCGGCGTGACGATCAAATATGGCTGCCAGGCTGCGGTGTTTCGGAAGGCGAATGGTTTCTGGCCTAACGACAACATTCAGAGCAGAAACACTGTTCTCCTACCAGTCGACGCGTGCTCTGTAAAAGGCCGGCCTGTTCCCAAAAAGCCTGTAGATCTTTTGACCAACGATGAGGAAGACCCCAGCGACAGCTCGATAGTCCCCACTGCGGCCTCTACCGATAATATCTCGACCGAACAGGATACGCCTGCAACCACGTCTGGGGCCGATGGCAATCATGCTTGGAAGCATGAATCATGGGTACACATGGATGGGTTTCCCGGACCGGTGCAAATCGGCCGTGTGCCTCGAAGAGCATTGGGATTCTTTCCACGTACGCGTCGAAAATCTATATCTTATTCGGATGCAGAGCCTCCCGATTTTTACCGAGAAACAATTACTCCTCCGTCTTCTACCGGATCGCCACCTCCACCTTCATCTTTTGGCATACTGCCACGAACTCGACCGAATGGCGACCAGCCCAAACCCAAAACCATACACCCCACTCGTCCTCAGCATCGCCGCCAGCGCAGTAGTATCCATCTGTCTGCCACCGGGGTGGGAACCCTTGACCCCACTTCGACTGGTCCAGGGCCTGCGTTAGATGGGTTCACGCGATTCTTCGCACAGCACATGCCGAACCTCGCGCCGGCACAACCCCCGGACAATTCCCGGACAGCTTCTTTTGGCTCCACACCCACTGTCACATCTAATGCATCGACTGGCCTCGAGAACATTGGCGGGGCTTTTGAGGGGTGGGTTCGAAAGGTAGCAACGCGTGCTAAGGCCGGCATCAATGAGCTGCAGCAAGGACCACCCACCCAGCAGGGTAGCAGGGGTCGCAATATATGGCGGATGGACGATCTAATTGAGCTTGATGATGGGATGGTGGATGGCCGGAACTCCCCCAGCCCGCTCACGAGTGCATCGCGGAGATCTGACTTACAGGCCTCGGCCTCATCCTCATCCTCATCTAACCGATACAATAACCCTTCGGTGGTGGCAGCGAGCAGGTCTCGTGCGACGGGATTTGCTTCGGGCTCATCCGCTTATGGCGAGCGGGTTAAGGATGATTAACATGGTTTGAATTTCCAAGCGTACATAATAAGAGTCTCCATGTGTTTGTGTGTGTGTGTATTCTTCGGAGTTCAAGATTTTTGCATTTCTTTTCTTCATCCACATTTCTTTTTTTTCCCCCCGAGCGACTTGGTATTTTAGTTCCCACTTTGGCGTTGCCATTTTCAAATGTCAGGCCACATCAATATTTGGCATTGGAGCATCACATGCATGAGAAGTTTGGGTAGAACAGAATATTAGAGGCTATCTTGCTATTTGAATACAGCTCGTTTACCGGATTGAATATTCGGCCAATGCCAAATAGCCAGGCTGTTGCTTTGGACTGAACACAAGCGTACCCTTTGTCATTTCTTCTTTTCGGCATGGACGTAACAGTACAATATCTTCAACGCTTTTCCTTATGTCATGGGCTTATCTGATGCTCCACCATCTAAGTATAGCTAAATTTTGACAGATCAATTTCCTCTCTTGGCCCGAAGTTTCTCCTTTGTTTTCCCACCTATGAGCACGTTTAGCCCTAAATATCACACCTCATCCCCAATGATAGACAAGTTGTTGATAGTGGGGTTACTTCAATTGTGATCCAATTTCCCGGACAAAGGGATGTCTAATTCTCCATGGCCTGTATTCAAGGATCTAATTGGTAGCTAAGTTGGCAGAGAACGAACTATATAAGAATAAACCGACTGCTACCTTTCGACTCGCTCAGCTTGAGCTCTATAAAAATTCCAAGATGCAGTCAATAACAAGCACCTCGATGCTCCTTTCGACCTTTTTCCTCTCTATAATTTTCGGAGCAATAGCCAGCCCCCTCTCATCCAACATAACAGGAACTACAGCCAATCCACCAACAGCAACCCTGTCAACAAGCAACAAAACCCCAAAGACCATATTTGTGGGCCGCTCTCTTCTGGAGTTTAATCAGGATCTCTTCCTAGGCATCAAGTATGCCGACAAGCCAATCCGTTTCACGCCAACCGAGCTCAAGAGTGCCTATGCATCTAAGGATAGTAATTCCGGACCTTATGATCTATCCCAAACAGGAATCAGCACTACTTCCAAGTCGGTATACTACAATGCTACGGAGTATGGCTACGACTGTCCTGCGTATGGATCCGATACCACCAACATGGTTAACAACGGTCTTATCACTTTGAACGAAGACTGCTTTAACTTGAATATAATCCGACCCAATTCCGACGAGAAAGACCAATTGCTTCCAGTTATGATCTGGATTTTTGGTGGTGGGTGGGCACAGGGCGCTACTGCGGATCCACGGTATGTGAATCGAGGACTACCTGGGAGGAGCGCTCGATAAATATGGCTAACGTTATGCTACACTGTCTACAGATATAATATGAGCTATATCGTTGAACAGAGCGCATTGAACGGCAAGCCGATTCTGGGTGTTTCTATCAACTACCGTCTGGCGGCATTCGGATTTCTTGACTCGGAGGAAGTGAGGGTAAGACCATTGTAAACAGAATTGGATGCGACGGAACTTTGAGACTAACTTGGACTCCAGGCCGAAGGAAACACTAATCTAGCACTGCGTGACCAGCGCACGGCTATGCGCTGGGTTAAGAAGAATATCAAAGCGTTCGGTGGTGATCCGAGCAAGATCACTATCTGGGGCGAGTCCGCGTGAGTCATTGGAAATATATTTTCAGTATATCAGATGCTTATTCTCGAATGACACAGTGGTGCATATAGTGTCGGAGCCCATCTGGTAACCAACAATGGCGATAATGAGGGTCTATTCAGAGCTGGTCTGATCCATTCCTACCATTTCTTTTTATAACGCCAGACTAAGCTCGACTAGCAATCATGGATTCCGGAAATGCCGTTGGGCCCCCATACAACGGAACAGAATGGCACCAGCCAATGTACAACCGAATCGTTGAGAGAGCTGGGTGAGTATGTGTCGAACAAGTCTTAGCCCACAGACGCTGATATATTATCCGCAGATGCACAAATTCAACAAATACCCTACAATGTCTCCGTGAGCTGCCCTACTCAACCTTATACAATACTGCAAACGAGGGCCTAGAATGGTTTGCTACTATCGACGGCTCGTTCATAGCCCAGTATCCGCAGATCAGCTATAGGCAAGGCAAATTGGCCCAGGTACCTGTCTTGATAGGGACGAATACCGACGAGGGCACCAGTTTTGGGACAACAGGCACAAACACCGATGAGGACTGCATCAATCAATTGACTGGTGAGTGTTGTTGCATAGCATGTTTACCATCACATATTATGATAACGTGCTAAGCGAGCACCACAGCATCCAAGCGCTGGGTCCTCGACCGATCCCAAGCTACCCAGCTGCTATCCTATTATCCCAACATCCCCGCTATTGGCTGTCCCTATGGCTGGGGAAATACCACCTGGCCATCGCTTGGATTCATGTACAAGCGTTATGAATCTATAGCCGGGGATGTGACTATGGTTGCGCCACGGCGCATGCTAGCACAACGGATGGCTAGCTTCCGCGATAATGTATATTCCTATAGATGGGATGTGGCGGCGTTGAATAGCTCAACAACGATTGGAGTGCAACATTTTGCAGAGGTATGTAGTAATCCACCTGATCTTGATTTATAGCCCGCAAGATGACCTGACGCTTGCATCTGGTTATACAGATCCCCTTCGTCTTTGCAAATCCAGTGCAGACCATCACACCCCTAGGATCCGACCCTGCGCGCTTGGAACTGGGACAGATGGCGGCACAGATGTGGACGTCGTTCGTGGCAGACCTAGACCCTAATGGACACGGTGGTTAGTAGAATACCCTTGCGGCTTAGTTCGATTGCCTGGAAGCTGACTGCCTTTTAGTGTCTGATATTACCAAATGGCCCAAATATTCGTCCCGCGCGACGAACTTTGTTTTCCGCTTACCCCGGAATGAGAGTTATATCGAGGCCGACACCTACCGTGTCGATGGGATTGATTGTATCAATAGCATCGCGCGGTGATGTGGAGGGAAAGGCAAGATAGGCTAGAGTGTCTACAGTGTGTACATGAACACGGGGAACAGATGGCAGACATGTGCTAGTCCAGTTGACTTTCTTCGTTGGGTAACGGGTCAAATCAATGGACAGCGAAGAATAAGGTTTGATTTTGCTATCAAGTAGCCTGTCAGCCGTATGAGACGAGCAGGAATGATTCAAGTGGTTCTTTTTTCTCGTTTGATATTTGCGTATCTGATATCTGACCGGAAATTCGGGGATAGCGATTGATTTAAACGCTCTTGGTGCCGACTTTGAGGAGCTCGACCTCACTGTGCACAGTTAGTTTAGTCGTTCTTTATGGATTTGTAGCATGGGGTAAAAAGACGGATGGATTACTCACAAGACAAGCTTAGAGTTGGCGGGAATCAGGCCGGGGAAGCCACTAAAAGATTTGATATCAGCACAAATCTCACAGGGAAAATTAGAGATGTAAGTTGCGGTTGTGAGGAATTGGAAGTGTCGCGAAAATCACAAATTGTTGATTCAGCATCGGTCTTGCCTGGTTGGTACATACCGGTCACCATAGCCGAAGTCACTATCGAGAACCGAATATTAGCAGTGTTCAGTAGATCAGCGCAAAAAGCGCAAAGGAAAGTTCAAAACGGCAACTCACGGGCTGATTGTCAGGATAGCCTTCTCGCCAAGAGACATCTGGGGAACACCCTCATCCCAGCCTATTTATCAAGTTAGCAAGCTGAAAGGACCTATTTATCTCACAGAAGACTCAGTTGGGGGAGATTCAAACGCACCGCGGATGAGACGACCGACGCCGATGGGGGTGGCAAGGGGACCACGGCCAGGCTTGTGGGAGGTGTCGAAGCTGTTGGTATATTAGCGCCTGGATCACCTCAGGGTGGCATGGAAATTTGGCTTACAGGCTTCCCATGAAGTGGTTGTCGGCCTTCTCGGCGTCATACAAACAGCCGGTGTAGTGGATGGCAACGTGCTCACCCTTCTTAGGGTAGTCAACACCGTTGCCCTCGACCAGAGTCTTCTTTTCGACGCCCATGATGTAATAGAGATGTGTGTTCAGGAGAAAGATGAGAGATGTGAAGAGAAGAAACAAAAAGGAAGACGGGGGAAGCTCGGGAGGGGCAGATTATCCACTTTTTTTTCCTGGGCGGGACACGACGTAATGAACTTGAAGTGTCTTTGAATGAGATTGTTACTTTATTGGTTAATGATTTTTTATTATATATTCTGATTAGAGACAGTGCACCTATCTAAGTTGTACTCAATAGCAACTTCTGAGTTTCAGGAGTAGAATACTCCGAGAACTCCTCTAAAACTGGGACCAATTCCAGACACGGTTGCTTGGCTTGCCTGGAAAGAGCTGAAAATATCTTGGAAGTAACACTAGAGTATAGACTACAACATACAGGGATATGATCTGCGTAAGACGGGGAAATTCGTGGGTTTTGGGAGTGCCACATGGGATATGTAATGGTTGGAATCTCTTATAATGCTATGATGTACAGGATCAGACCACTTAGCCCTTACGTTGAGACTAATGAAAGGATCATCCTATTTGTTTCCTTAATGCCCCGCGGAGGGGTAATGGCGGGGGAAATATCCCCGCGAGTATAACCCCAGAGCTGTTCTCTAATATTGACCTAGATATGAAGATAAGAGATATCGAAGAATACAAGGGAACCAATCCCCCCATCAATATACTGCGTAAATCGTAATATCATGACCAAAATTCCATCTTCCTAACGTCCTCCACTGAAATCTCCACAATTTGAGTCTTAGGGAATCGAGCATCGGGCGCAGGAGATGACACCGACGCTTCCAGTTGTAGATAATGCAGTGTTTTGACACCAGCACGATCTAAAAAGTCAAGGACGGGGCGGAAGTTTAAAGCAACCTGGTCAATACCGTGGCTATCATCAGACAAACAGAAGCGACCCTTGCGCGCAACAAATTCCTAAAATCGTCAACTTAGTCGGGAGATAGGTAACAAAAGATTGTGCTCTTACCTTGCAGATTTCCGCTTTTGGATATGGTTCCGTCATTCCCTTGCGCAACGCAGCAGAATTGAGCTCCAGCATACCGCCGTATGAGGCGATATAGTCCAAGTTCCGTAGAATCTTACTCCAGACACCAGGCCAAGTAGTAAAGCTGCGCTCCATGTCATCGCTCTTCAGACGAATCAAATCAAAATGGCCTATAACAAGCGGTTTGAGCTGCTCCAACATTTCCAGCTGTGCGTCAAAGTAGTCCTCGAATAGTCGCTCATCCGTTCCGCCGGCTTTCTCTCGAGCCTCCTCGTACATATTCCGGTCATAGTCGATTGGCACGGTGTGCATGTGGTGAACTGAGCCGATGAAGAATTCAAAGGGAAACCGTGAAAGTGAGCGTTCGATCAAATCTTTAGAGGCGGGTCGGATCCAGTCAATCTCGAAGCCAATGATGATCTTGATCTGGGAGGCGTATTTCTCCCGGAGAGAGACTGCTTCCTTCCAGTAAGCGGCTTCGTTTGCTGCATGACTTTCTTCTGTATTGCCAGATTCGAGCTGGATGATTGATTAATTTAGGGTTCTGCAGTGGGTATTTTTCTTACGCACTTCCTCGGGGTAGAAATCCTCTTTATGGCGGGGCATATGTTCAGTCAAACAGAAGACTTGCATCTTCTTGCTGATGGCAGTTTGGACTACATCTTCCAGGGAGTTTTTGGCATGGCCAGGGCAGAATTGGCCCGAATGGCTGTGATGCGAGAACGGCATGTTTTATGGATATGTCACTTCGACTCGTGGTTAGCATAATATCCGAAGTGGAGGTCGCGTCGGAGGGGTAGGGATCGGAGTATGTGGCTTTTTTGAACAGTGGACGTATTCTATACATACATTTGCTTTTTTAGGATGTTCCACCGAAGAACATGGAATATGCCAGTTAAGTCTACTTGGGGAGTCGGGAAGTTACCTAGGTAGGTCCAATGTTGATAGACGATAAGAATTTCTGTGCTGTGGGTAGTCTTGGAAGACATCAAGTAACAGCCGTATAATTAAATGGCTACATACGCATGTGATACTTAATGTTTCAATAACAAATTTCTTGATCAGTTCTTAGCTCCTTGTTTTCACAATTTATTTGGGTAATATACCCCAATGAGATGTTACCTCCGGCCATCCCCGCAATCTACCCAGGTATCACCAACTACAAGCGTACATAGTACATCTATATCAGACGCCTATGATGACGTCCCCCAGTAAAGTGCGCTGCCATTAGAGTTGTGGATGTGGCTCGGCCGGTGTGACTCAATTGCAAGCATTGGAGCCAGATCGACCGAACCAGATGGCAAATCACGTCAAAGCCTTGACTTTCTCTAAACCCACTCTCTTTCGAATAGGATAGTAAGTACCCAGTAGTTTCGCAGTAGTCGCAAACTGGAACCATCACAGCATGCGTACCAGGCAAGTGACTGCTCGCCGTCCGGTGCTGGGCTAGCCGCAGTCCCAGACACGGAGTAAACCAGCGACGACAGTTGCAATGAGATTCAATCAACAAAGTAGAGCCCGATAAAGCCAAAAATTCACCCAGCAGCCAAAACAGTAGCAACAACATACTCGCCATCATGCGAAATCGACAACTTCGCAACCCTCCCATCATCCGCATCCCCATCCAGCGCATTCCCAAGGTATACAATCTCAGGCCTCCGACTCACACCCTCGCCAAATTTCCCCCCATCCTCTTGAACCCGAACCATGACATCCTTCCAGCCAATCGAAGCCGCACCAGACGGCGCCGCTTTCCGCGCCGCCTCTTTCGCCGCGAAGCGTCCCGCCAGCCAGCGTGTTATGTCCGCTGGCACAGGGGGGGGGGGTTGGTGATATGCGGCGCGCGCTTTGAGCGCTTCGCTGAAGCGTGTGTGGAAGTCGTGTTGTTCTTGGTCGCAGAGGATGCGGCGCGTGAATCGTCGGAGGTAGTTGGGTCGATCGAGGAGGCGGGTTATTCGTGGGATGTAGACGATGTCTGTGCCGATGTTCAGAGGAAATGGAAAGGGAACGGGTTTCATTTTGGGGTTTCTGGTTGTTGGTGCGGTCTTTCGGGGAGTTGTGGTGGGAGTGAAGTGGTATGTAGGAAGGAGGTTGCGGCGGAGGTATTGGAGACCTCGGGATAGCCGCTGAGCGTTTTTTAAGGTTGCTATGTAGTCATTGGGAGGTCATTGATCGTGTATGGACGTCGCATATGACCATTAGCATAGTTTCAGCGCAAGCTTTTTCATGCAGTTTACATCTACATCTTCTTATTTTGCTGTACACCTCGTTGGTAAAGTACTTTCACTGGCCGGACAAGCCGATCGAGCCGCAGAGAGAAATATCCATACCAGGTCGAAAGTTCATAGAGGGCTCTTGTCAATCACAGACTCCGAGTAACCCGGTACGAGATTGCGTCGAAGCAATCGTACCACTTGCCTTTCTTCTTCCACGATTGATCATGCTCAATGGCAAGTTAAAGAACGGATTCGAAAAACCAACGTCAAGAGGATAATTTTCTATGCAGCGTACACGCCTCCTATGTACAGATCAATCAACCTCATCCGCCAACATCCCAAGATCAGTCCGTGTAGCTTCACGAGAAAAAAACCGTGGTCACAAAAAAACGCTGCGGAAGGGCGGATACACGTCGTTGCGTGCTAGAAATGGCACGAGAGCGGAGGCAGTTTGTTTGAATTCAGAATCCTAGCTGCTCATGATGACCGCTCCATCAATATAACCCGTATCGAGGGGTGGTTTAGTGGCCAGCGGCGGGCTTCTTCTCGCCGCCATCGACCTCCTTCATGAAGTTCCTGTGAGATACGCAATCAGTAAGACAATCGAGGGCCGATATTGAGATTCTATTCGTGACCGGCGGTTCTCGGTTCTCCAAGATGGTGTTGGACATACTGGACGAAGTTCTCCTCATCCTTGGAGGAGGCGTTGATGGGAGGACCCTGAGCGGTCTTGGGCTTCTCACCACCGGACACGGCGAGCCAGGAACCGGCGAAGATGCTGCCGAGGGTGGCCATAGCGAGCTAATGAGGGAGTAGAGGGAACCCGGTCAACTTTCATGTTTTAAGAAGTACCCGCACGAAGCGCGAGGAGAAAGGGATGGCGAGCGCGCAGCGGCGTTTTCAGAGAGATGAAAACTTACGACGTGGGAGCCGACCTTCTTGCCGGCGATCTGGTAGTAGACAACCATTTTGTAGGGTGAATTGAGGTACAGCGAGAGGTTCAATTGGCAGCGATGTGGACGGAATCCTTAGGCTTGCATCAAACGACGAGGTAGGCACGGATACCGCCTTTCCTAATCTGGTTAGACATTTCACATGACTTCGGAACTGTTGATGATTAGGTAAGCACACTCGGCCACCCGGGCACCCGGCTGCATCCGATATCATGTGACCTCCCCGGAACGAACGTCACGGGTGCTTTGGCATATGAAGATCAATTACAACACGAAAATACTGAAAAGTCTGGCTGAAAACCGACGATGCACATAGCTCAGACAAGCTGAAGCCCAGATTGAAAGCTTCAAGGATGAGCAATAAATGTTGAGTTCGGCCCTGAGATATTATCCCCGTACGGAGTATATTACTTCTACCCCAGATCCCGAGCCGGAGGATACCAACGGTACCTCGGAGGGAACTATCCCAGCTAATGCTGTATATCCCGGCTATGGCTGTGTCTTCGGCTGTAGTGCGCGGTTAATATGAGAATTCTCTAATAATAACTTGTTTTCTCCCTTGCATAGCTTTCCCTAATTCTTCTCCTTCACTTTCTTTATATTATATACCCCCTTTGACTTGATTCCCGTCATTTGGCATGCAAATAAGCATTGTCTTGTTCAAAACCACTACATAAGTCATCACTGACCATACCATACTATATTTACAATGGTCTGGGGCGGTCATCAACAGAATGAACCCCAGTCTCCCCCGCAGGAGTTGTTGGATAAACCTGTAGTCCGAGAGAGGCTCCCCGCAAGATTGCAAGAATTGGTTGATCGCGAAGATGAATTCTATGATGATCTTTATTCCCAATAGTACGTGAAATTCTAATTTTCCTATATTATTTTTTTCATCCCAAGAAAATTGTCGTCGCGTGCTCAGAGAGGCGGGGGGGGGGGGGGGGGNCGTGGAGCGGTACTTTCCGGCTTGAGTCGATGACATACTACTCCGCAAACTCACCTCGAGCAAATCAACGCAACGCCAAAAGCCAGCAAAGACAAACCAGAAACTAACGATGGGCACCTCGATTGACGGCAGCTCGGTCAACTCCACAGATACAGGGTTCCGCTATGCCGCGTACGCCAACCGCATCCGCACGATCCTGCTGTCTGCCCATCGCTATGTCGCCTACACCTCAGACATTGGCGAGTCCTTCCGTCCCATTGCACACCCGTGGCTCGTGCGCTCTGCCTACACTATCTCCTGGACATACCTGCTAGGTGATGTTGGTCACGAAGGATACAAGGCCTATCTCCGGAACTGGAAGGCACTGGCTCCCACCGGCGAGGCATACAAGGATGCTAGCCAGCCTTCGCAAAACCAGATTATCAGAGGCATGGCAACGGGAAATATGACTATTGGCAACAAAGCCGAGGGCAAGGATGGGCCTTCAAGCTGGCCGACCCCCGAGATCCCACTTGCGGAGGACTACCGCATGGTCATGGCCAAGCGCGCGGTGTTCCAAAGTATCGCAAGTATGGGATTGCCCGCATTTACTATCCACAGTGTGGTCCGCTACTCCGGGCAGATGGTGAAGGGTGTCAAGATTGCGTTTATTCGTACCTGGACGCCGATCGGGGTATGTACAGTTTCCTTCCGGGCGAAGATGTTGGCGAATGTGATGCTAATGACTGTTTCTTATAGCTTGGCCTCGCTGTTGTCCCCTTCCTTCCCTATATTTTTGATCATCCCGTCGACGAGGCCGTTGAATGGGCCTTCCGCACTGGTCTTCGTGCTTACGGCGGCGAAGCAGCCGTCCGCCCACTACCAGGCAAGAGCCTCCCTCCACGGGAAGACGAGGAAGTCCGTGCTGCTGCGGCGGCAAATCTCTCCTGGGACGAATACAAGGCTGAGCGGGAACGAGCGCGTGAGCTTCGTCGCCAGTCAACTGAGCAGGCTGGCAGTGGTGGAATTGCATCGCTGACGAGCTGGTTTGGAAAGTCTGAATCGGAGTCGGACAAGAAAAAGACGGAATGAGGTAAATACACTAACTTCTATCTATCTTTTGACCGAAGTGGTTTCTTTGGCTGCTTTTGTCTTTGCGTGTGGGCGCATCTCCCCTACCACTTATTGTACACATCATTTCCCACTCTCTGATCTCCTATTCCTACTGATATCCACTGGGTTTGCTTATGCACTTACACCCAACATTTCTGAACAAAATCTACATCATTACCCTTCATTGATTTCGATATGGTTATATTGCTCATCTACCTCAAACATAGTGAGGTCCGTTTTTCAATCTCTATCGTTATAGATGCGCCTAGTGGATACTGTCTTGATCTCAAGAAGACCAACAAAACAGCTGGTGGCTCTCATAAAGATCACTCGTTGCGCCATGTGGTGATATCTTTGTAGACTACACCATAGAATCATATATACAAATTAGTAGACCCAAGCACTAGCTTGGCAACAGAGGGAAACCGTCTCCTAGCAAATAAATCTTGTGCACCTAATAATAGGCCATCTCCGTCATCTCTACGATTTAGTTCGATATACTTTGGTAGTCTCAACCTCAAAGAGCGTGGACCCTAAAGCGAATATATTCATTTGTATGCGGATATCATTACCTGCTTGATAGCCACACCATTCGTAATAAAAGGGCATATTCCCCGCCAATTCCGGACCCAGTGGAAACAATAACCTTGACATGGTGGGAGTATTCGGTGTCACATTATGGCATCTGACCTCCGTATAGACATGTTACCATAGGTATATTGAAGACCCTCGGTAGTTTCTTGGGCCCCCGGAGCTTGGTCATTCCTTGCTGAACAAGCCAACTCTGCAAGGATATACAAACAATAGAGTTGGATTAGTCTACCTCGAGAACCCATGGTTCCAAATGGTGGAACCTGTGGTAGACCCACCTTAGTTTGGAAGGCACAACTTTCTTTTTGTCTTTAATTTTACATCACTTGTTATCATTCTCGTAGAGTAGCATCTGTCATAGATTTCTGTATTCTCTTTTCCAGCAGCATAATTTATTGACACCAGTGAACAAGTAAAATTCAAACAGTCACGCGTCATCTGGCACTTCAAACCCCTCTACCCGGACCGACTTGGTTTGATACTGGACAATCAAGCGAGCCAGCTTCAAGCGATCATCTCTACCAAGCGTCTGAATCCTCTGAGAAGGGTTCTTTACAACCAGCCCGTCGAAGTCATGCTGAAACTCTACCTCCGCCTCCCATTCATACGTCGGGCTCCGCTCTCTGAAGTAATAAGGCCGGCCATGCCTCATAACAACCTCGTACAGTTTGCGAAATTCTCCGGATCTTCCAGTCTTAATCTCTCCATTTGACAGTACCACCACACTTGAGTGCCACGGCATATCACCAAACAGGTCACCTTGCCGCAGTAGGGGAATAGATATCTTGTTTCGACCCAATGAAGGGTGAATCGAGAGACGGATGTATTTTCCAAGTGTGGCTTTAATGACAGCTTCATATGCCTATAAAAAAAAGAGTGAGCCCGGGAGTTAGATTGTTAGAACGAACAAAACCCCAAGTATATCACGGCATTGCAACTTACAATGAGCCGGTTGATCATAGTTTTCGCCATTTTGGATACCTCAGTCGCGTAGAGCGCCGTATCGGCCGCAACAAGAGGGTCAAATCCTTTGGCCCATTTCAGATCCTCTGAGATGCGACTAAAATAGCTCTCGTATGTTGTCTTGGTATCTGGATTTGTCTTCAACTCATGGTCAATGTCAAATCTCGGATCGAAATAGGTGGGTGACATCAGTGTCTGCCTGCAGGTGGGAACAAGACGCAGGTAATCTGCCTTGGAGATTTTCTCGCCATCTCCCAAACCCAGCAAGTTTATTAGTCGGGTGAACTGGATAGAAGAAAAATGTTTCTCTTGAGCGATTTTGCGCAGCTCAATCCCATAGTCGTAATATTCGTCATCGGGAACGCCGACCAAGTCTACACCGTCAGTCCATTCGTTTCATTCTCAAGAATTATATCACTGCTCAATTAAGATAAGAGATGACATACCGTTATATATTGGTCCGTCACAAATGAGGATCAGTCGTGCGCCGTAAGGGTAGACCTTTGATATCTCCTCACACAGGTGGTTCAACTTCGCCAGTCCCATTTCTTCTCCTAGATCAGCCCCATCTCCTAGAACTTTGTCCTGGTTTGGGCTCTTCCACGGAAATGCAGGCAAGACCATGGTTATCGGCTGGTTTGCGGTGATATTAATCTTCAGCTTTTCAGGCACGGACTCAAATACCCTTCCGACATCTTTCTGATGGCCATCTTTGCTCGAATGCAAGCAAAACCGCTTTAATACCTCGACAACCTTTTGGGGCACTTCATCTGGGGCGTATTCAAATTTCATTGTCAATGGAATGTACAAAGAAATTTGTGGATGTGTGCAGCAAAATGGGGCCGTGAGTGTTCGGATATTATTGTTATCCCTCCGCGTTAAGATCAACACCCGATTGCAGTGACATATAATTTACAGTATTTTATTAAGTTATCTGCACACTTCATACGTATTCATACCTGTAGCATTACATGTACTCCGTAAAAAATCAGAACATATCTGCAAGATTTCTGCAGGGAGCGAGTACATCGACTCCACAATGTATGTAGTACCTAGGAGTCACATTTTAGAATTCAACTCTCATATGCTGCCATCTTTCCACTTTATTTCTGAATCCTGGGAGTTGGTTTCGTTTGATCTTTGGAGCTTTTTCAAACAACATGGGCCAGCCAAACATATCACAGAGCAATGCGGCTGGAGCATGCCCGACGGCCACCGCTTCGCCTTACAGAACATCGACCACTACCTATGCTACCCTTGCTCAGGAATCCCCGCTAGTTATTTACCCAGATACCCGCCGACAAGACGAAGACCGAAAAGCTGAGAATAATCAAATTCCCGATGGAGGTCTCGTTGCCTGGACCCAGGTTCTGACCGGACATCTAGTTGTGTTCAATGTATGGGGCTATATTACATCGTGAGGGAGCCCTGTCACATCCCATATCACTTACAACCATTGACGCGATATAGATACGGATTTTTCCAGGAATACTACGTCAAAAATCTCGACGTGAGCCCAGCGAATGCATCTTGGATCGGAGCGGTGCAGATGTTCCTAGTCCATTTCCTGGCCACTTTCTCAGGCCGAGCAATGGACGCGGGCTATCTGAGACAATGCATCGCCCTTGGGTGTCTCTTACAGGTTGTCGGAGCATTGGCAACCTCCTTTGGCACAAAGTTATGGCATTTTTGGCTAGCGCAAGGTATCATCAGTGGAATTGGACACGGCCTGGTCTTTAGCCCCATGATTTCGCTGTATGCGACATACTTCAGCTCTAAGCGAGTGATGGCTGTTTCGCTGGCTTCTTGCGGGGCAGCGACTGGAGGGATGATTTTCCCAGTGGTCGCTTATAAATGTCTCAACAATATTGGTTTCGCATGGACTGTCCGGGTTATGGCGGCCATTATCCTGTTCAACAGCGTTATAATTGTCAAGTTTACCAGATCTCGGATTATACCTCGGAGCCCTCCTCCCTGGGTGGATTTTAGTGCGTTCCGTGAACGCCCTTACCTCCTTTTTTCGATCGGCTCATTCTTGATCTTCGAGGGTATTTACTTTGCATACATTTATGTAAGTTTTGTTTTGTTTCACATCGGGTTGGCAGCACAACAATTAACAATATCTAAAGATTAGACACTTTGCCCAGACTCACACAGGTTTCACCGCATCCGACTCACTTCTCCTTCTAATCCTAATGAACGGTGTGGGTGTTCCGTCTCGCATTGCATCTGCATTCATGGCAGATCGGTGGCTGGGCGCTGTAAGGACTTGCATTGCAGTCTCCATCCCTTGCGGTATTGCCATTCTAGGGTGGATTGGTGTACACACCCATGCTGGCATGTTCATTTGGGCCACGGTCTATGGGTTACTGGTTAATTGTACGCAGAGTCAATTGCCCGCTGCCAATGCGTACTTTGGGTCTAAAGATCCGGAGAAATCTGGCACACGTGTTGGAATGATCACCACGATCAATAGTATTCCACTACTGACTGGGCCGTATATAGCAGGGCAGCTCATTGCGTTACGGGGAGGGGATTACCTGTATGCCCAATTGTTTGGTGGTATTTGCATTTTGACTGGAGCGTTGTTTGTGGTCGGGTCTCACTTCTCAGGGGCTTAAAATTACTGTACATGCCTTATTATATTTCAATGAAGAGTTATACCATGAATCTACTTTTCTTACCTCGAGGATGACGAATATCAAGCACTGAATCAGGTAATACCACCCTTAAGCCACATAGCATAGTTTACTAGTTGTTCAGCGTGTCACCCTATCTTTGTTGCCATCCTCACATGAAAATGAACATGCATATGAACATGCATATGAACATGCATATGAACACATTCCCCCCTGGCTAATTACATCAACTGACCTTGGAATATTCTGAATCAACAAAAAGTGTGTGACCCGCTCTGTTTCGGAATGACCTCCTTGCTACCAAGTTTTCTCCAACTCATCTCCTCGCGGGCCTTCTCCACCAACGGAGCATTACACAAGATGGCCCTCAGGCCTCTCCATTACCACCTTCCATTGTTCCCGGGTTTCCAACTACTTGATGTGGCGGCTCCACTGGACATTCTCAACATTCGTACGCAGTACCCTGACACATCAAACATCACCCTGACTGTATCAGCCGCAACTCTCGACCCAGTCTCAGTGAAACCAATCCCACCTGCCAAGGCAAAATGGCGATTTGATCTGCCTGTCTCAAACATCAATACAGCCTGCAACCAGCAAATGTTGCCACAATGTACGTTTGCTGACGTGATCTCTTCTCTGAAAGCGGGGAAAGTTGCCGACGATGGAAGTGGTGAATTCAAACCCATCGATGTGTTGATCATCCCAGGTGGCCCGGGGACACGTCTGAACCGTATTTACGACACTGAAGGTACATGCGATGAAGTAAAAGTCTCCAACATGCAGGAGGTTCGGGACTTTCTGGCTGCTGTTGCGCCTTATGTCCGCCACAGCATCATTACTGTTTGCACAGGCAGCCATGTCCTCTCACAAACTGGACTTCTAGATGGACGCCAGGTTACAACCAATTCAGCTCGCTACGAAGATGTCACTAAACAAACGAGCGAGGTGAAGTGGCAGCGCAATAGACGGTGGCTGCGTGATATTGTTCCCAAGGATAAGGTGTCCGACGGCCTGTCATTGCTACCTGGGATTGAGATATGGTCATCTGCTGGAATTACTGCTGGGATTGATGTAATGTTGGAGTTTATTTCGGTACATTATGGTGGTATCGAAGTCGGGATGGAGACTGCGAAGCGGATGGAGTATCGCTGGGAGCGAGAGAAGGAGGCTTCTTACTTCTTGTGAATGGGGGTTTCCCAATGACATTACCGGAGCTACAGATGAGCTCAACTTTCTTGATCAAGGCTTTAGACGTAGCACTCGATGCAAATGACGGGGGATGGAATACTCCCCGGCCTTGGCATGAATATAGTCAGGCCGTGAAGCTAAAGCAATTGCAATTTTAGTCACACTCCATGTCTACTCTACTAGCCTTAGTGCTTTCTGCTACTAGTAGATGCTACAGTTTGTGCAGAGAGTAGCAGCTACTTGATCGGCCAATATAACTTCGAACTCCCCTCTGGAAATCTTAGCCCTTTTGACTTCTCGTGACGTATTAGCCTTCAGCAATCAAAACAATGAAATGTCACATACTACCGTATTCTCGGAATTATTTTGCCTAGGATCTTAATTGGCTCCCTTCCATCCCGACCTCTCGTGTGAGGTCCTCCTAAATATAGACTGATCGGGAAACGGCTTGCGGCTTGCGTCAGATCATACATGAACAGTCAGTTTAACAGTTATAGAATTATGTTGTTCGGGGAGCATATTTGCCTGTGATATGATGTATTTACTCATAGTATCCATATTGTTGTTCTCCAGGGCTCTTGGATCAACTGCCCAGCCCGAACATATGAAAACTATCTTACCCCAAGCCATGCAGTAGTTTCGGCATACATGTAATCTGACAATAGACAATACCATTTTATCTTTCTGTGCAAAATCATAGTTTCCATACAAAAATCCACCGAAGACAGCTTACCAAAAGTACAAAAAGGATGGGGAAGAGAGCAAGGGGGGAAGGGGCGGCACATGGAAACCTAGACGGCGAACACGCACGAAGACCATGCGCATAAGAAACCGAGAGCGAGGTGGCGATAGAAAGCCACCAAATTCCAATATAAGATACGAAGGTATCACCCCAATAAATAACGAGTACATTCGAATACCAAACCTACCCCTTGCCAATCCCTAGCTACTGCCCCGACCTCCCCGCGCTTGTCTATCATGAGCTATATCAAAATGCTAGCGACAACGGTAGTCGAAGTCTCTGCCCATCTAAACATAATCCCTTTGGATGGTATCACCCCCGCCTCAAAGACACGAGTTTTCCTCTTCCCCAAACCGCACCCAGTCTCCCCAAAACCTGAAGTCAACACCGACACTCATCCTAATGCACCGACGATATGTCCCACATTAATCCGCCTGAAGGCAGAGGAAATCATGAATATTGTGGAGCGCTATGGCTCCCATGAGCGCACAACCGCAGCCGGAGAATGGCTGGGGCGGTCATCGTTTATGCCACGCGTGCAGACACATGTCGCAGCCAACAGGGCGATTCCGATGGTTCTACCTGCTTTTCCTATGAAAAGTAACAATCGCATGGACAAGGTGCTAGGTGCGCTTCCGGATTTGGGGGATGAGCTTGGGTTGGGGCGGTTGGTGAATCTTTGTCGGGATATTAAGGCTGTCTACCCGTCTGGTGCAGTTGTGGTTATTGTTACGGACGGGATTTGCTATAATGGTGAGATCAAATCTCCTGTTAATTTGGGTATAGAATACAGGATCGGGTGCTAATTTGATTCCTAAATTTTAGATCTTACGGGGATTTCTGATGAAGAGGTCTGGGAATATGGGAATCAACTGCGGAAGATTGCTGTTGGGAAAGGATATGCTTGTATTCAATTTCATCGTATCATGAATATGCTGGGTCTTTATACTGGTGCCCAGATTTCCAAATCAGATTATGTGAAGCTCTGCGGTTTGTCGAGGACTGAGCTTCATCAACGGTGTGGACGACCAGGCTTTGATGTTGATAAGTTTTTGAAAAGTGACGAGGATTATCTGAGAACGTATAATGGTAAGTGCTTGAATTTCCAGTCGGCTTGGTGTCTCATGGCTGATTCAATGCAGGATACGACAAGTTCATGAAAGTCGATCTGAAATTCAGCCCAGTGACCAGGGATTGTGCGGGTCCCAAACAATATAAGAAGAGGATCAAGTCTATTGCAAAATCTATGATAGTCCGCGGAGTGGTTAGTTATTTTGAGCGCCATTCAAAGTGACAAGATGGCTAATATTATAGATTGTAGGAGTACGCAGAGCTAGTACGCCAAATTTATCCCGACTCACTGCGGCTCTCCATCCATCCCTCATCGGGACAGACAAAGCTGTCCTGTGCACTTATTCCGCAGAAGAATTCGTTCTCTATGAGTCCTTGGCACTGTAGTGTCGCAGTGACAACTGCAGGGGAATTCATAACAGCCCACCAATCCGCACATCGGCAGAAGTTTGACCTCATTAAGAAAGATGGTCAACCGTATCTCTTCCGTGAGAGCTCGCCACTCTTCGATTGGGATGCCAGGGTCAATTTTGAGCATCATTACGGGCAAAACTTGGTTATTATTGCACAGAAAAAGATTGATCAACAACTATCTGACTCAGATTTGGACAAGTTGGCACTTTTGGCAATCCGACACAAGAGTGTGTCCTTTATCTCTCTATAATTTTATCACATAAACATTGTATTATTTTTTATCCCAGGCTTCGATGGATGTAGTTACATGTATATATCATCAACCTTCACCTAATCTGCACTATATACTACGAAATATGTAACAGCCACGGCAGACTAATATAGGTGACTGACTTCATAGACAGCGTTGTACCTGGAATCCCGGGGTACACTTTATTTCTCTTATTATGTATTGAAACCTCTCGTATGTCACATTTGCTCATAATCGTATGTCGTGTGCTAAATGCTATCAAATAGCAGGGATATTCGCTGTCCACGTTTCTACATAAACTTTATCTGGCATATAGCGCAGACTAGCAACCGCTAGCCCTAGGATCATCAGCCTGGACAGACAATATACCAGACTAGTGGCATATAGAATGCACAAGTTGAATTCCTTCGGCAAGAGTGTCATCCGTGGGAAAACATTAGCCCTTGCGTTATCAATATTCGTTTTGAGCTCGTCTCCCTTTAGACAATCCACGAGTTGTTTGAAATCAGACAGGAAGTTCCTGGGTAGGCTGACTGTTCCGACTCTCCCTGATTGAGGTCCATTCTCGAGAAAACTGATCATACAATCTAGAAAAACAGGATGTGCAATCCTGTCTGAGAAGATCTTGTTGAAATGTGTATGTTCTCCCTCTCCTTTATCCCCACTAGCATAGATATCTTCTAGCCTTCTTTTTGCTTGGTATAGATCCTGTTGATACAGAGAGTCTCGACAATGCCAAGAGATCTCTCGCAACATATTTATACAGCCACGTATAAACTCGCGCGTCCTGTCTGTCTGAACGGTAAATTGAGCTAGGGGAATGATCGCAAGGCCGGTAATAGGAACCGTGATTGAGAGAATGGTGGCAACTCTCCATAGAATCTTTTCAATATCTGTAGGGAACTCGAAGTTCCAAGCTATCAGATGGAGACATCCGAATGCTGCTGACATGACGGCTAAGGTTGGAATTGCCATATGGGCTGTCTTTGATGATCCTAGAGGGATATTATCGTTCTTGATGCGATTAACTGTTTGGTCATCATGAGAGCTTCGGTGGTTGGTGAGGATTTCCCAGAAATTGTCGTGATTTTGTATAAATTTGAGTGGTTCGGCGCCAGGCTTCTTATGCCGGACTGTTATTGGAGCACTTATGTCTTGAGGTTTATACCAATATACAATGTACGTGCCTATCCCAAAAACAGCCAGACCGAGTGTGAGGGCTTCCAGCTGAGAGAAAGGCAGGTTCTGCGTTTTTCGCACAATAAGAGAAAGAACTAGTTGTGCTATCTGCAGGAGAGCAATTCCCTTCGCGGTGTAGTCTTGTTTGCTTCGACTTTCAATGTCGCTTTCGGTAACTTTGGGCATCTCGTAGAGCTCGCATTCTTGGGCATATTGCGAGGTAGTCAAGGGGCAATGAATATTCCCTTGATAATAAATTCCGCCCATATTTGCGAAATAAGAGTGGGCAAGTGTCCAATCTGGGATTTCTTTGGTGTCGGGCCTTTTGTACTCTTCGGGGGTTGAGAGATCCTCATCCTGTGGTTTCTTGGAGGGTTCCAATCTACCTTTGGTTTCGGCAGTCTCGACATCTTGCTGCTGACTGCGAGCTGATTTAGAGACGAGTGGCCGGATCATCCAAGGATACTTAGCGACCTTCTTGTGCGTGTACTTCTTGACGTCCTCCGTTCCTTGTACAGCCAAGATGAGCTCGAAAAACGCATGTGCCAAAATAAACTCAGGCAATAAAACTGAGATCGCCATCCATTTTAGCCTTTGCACAGTTATTCTGACAATTCCATCGTGATCTGACTGCCCCGGAACATTCAGATGTTGGATAGTCCATGTACAGGCAAGAATGGTTGTCAAACAACTCAGAACAATGTCCCAGGTGCCCCGTCGATTAGGGCCATCCTGCCATCCGACTGGAAGTGAGGTAGTCTCCTCAGTAGCTGTCGCCAGGATAGGAACTGAACATATGAAGGTCAAGAACAACATTGTGCATCCGTTTTGGAACTTGGATATCCTAGATCGAAGAGCTTGTCTGGAGCAGCTACACTACTTCCATCTCCGCTAGTCAAAGAAGCACCTATTTATTCAGAGCTATTATTATATTGCCGCTCGTACCACAGATCTCCAAGCCGACGGATGTGATATGGCTTGCATATGCAATACTGATAGCCAAGTAGTCCGCGTTGATAATTTACACGGATGAATATCGAATCATATTGTCCCAGCTATGTACAATTTCTTATATTCCCTACGTTAGTCTTGCTCTAACCATATAGCGAGATTTCTATCACTTCAATCATGTGGAACTGGCTTAAACCAAAACCCCAGGAGATAGGCCTGTTTGAAGCAGTGTTAATAGGTGACGCATGGAAAGTGGAGCATCTACTCTCCAATCAATGCAACACCTCAATTGCAGACAATTCTGGCATGACAGTTCTACACTGGGCAGCATTGAGAGGTGACAATAAAGTTGTATCTTTGCTCTTGCAAAATGATACCAGCCTCACAGCTAGAATAGATCACCACGGGAGGGTTGCTATGCACTGTGCAGCAGAGAACGGCCACCTGGAAGCTGTCAAGCTGATTGGTTCGACTGTATCAAAACCTCGGACTCAATAGGTAGAACAGCATTGCACTGGGCCGCCGAAAATGGCCACTTAGACGTGGTGACCTTCTACTTAAGAAGGGTGCCAATGCAAGTGCCCTTGATTCTTTCGAAGAGACACCGGTGCACAAAGCAGCATCCAGAGGACATGAATCCGTCGTCCAACTCCTACTGCGTCACACGGTCGAAATCAACAAGCCAGATCAAAATGGATACACAGCTTTGCACCGAGCAGCCGAGGGCAAGAATGGCAAGGTCGCTCTGCTTCTTTTGGAGAACAAAGGGGTCGATTTCGATGCAAAAACTGCAGCTGGTGAAACCTTTTTTGATGTATTAGGTCAAGAAATACCAGAACCAGAGAGTGGCGTCTTTGAGGCCCTTAAATTCACGACAGGAAAAGAAGTCTGTCTCGCTGCAAAGGCTACGGCAAATGACAAGGCCCGTGATGCGGCTGCGCTGGATCACCGATTGAGCAGAAGATCAGCCGTAGCACTCCTGTTAAAGTGGATGACTCATAAAGAAATCGAAGCGATTTTGAAAAGGTCCTCGTATCTATTTCAAAGGAACAGTCTCCCAGATTTCTCCCCACTTTCTATGACCAAGCATCAGAATTTCTGCTGTGGGCAGTCATACACAATATCATCGGCGTTGTGGATAGACTCCTTGCTCAGGGGATTTCTCCCAATCGCAAGGAGCGTTATCCAAAGCCCGTACTTCAGCACGCAGCTAAGAGGGGGTATTGCGATATGGTACAGCTACTTCTAGTCAGAGGAGCTCAAGTCAATGCTGGCCTAGACGCTTCCAGCAAAGAGACGGCTTTCATGCCTGCGGCAGAAAATGGTCATCTCGATGTCATGCGACTCCTCATAGACGGAGGCGCCGATATCGAGGCTGAGTTGGCATACGATGGGAAGTCAGCCTTCGAACGCGCATCAACATACGGCCACACCAGTATTGTTCAGTTTTTGTTAGAGCAGAGCACTCATCGTAACATTACGATTTCTTTACAAAAAAGAGAGTTTGCATTTGAGTGTGCGATACGCAACGGCCATTACGATGTGGTCAAGGTTTTCCTAGACGGAGGACTTACTAAAGCAGATGTCTTTGATCAAGTTAGATCTAGCTTGGCGTCTGCAGCGAGAAGGGGTGATCTCAACATGTTTCAGCTTCTCGAAAAGCACGAACTCGGGCTTGGGGATGACGGCTATGAGGCTTTGGGGTTTGCGATAGGCAAAGGCTACCGCGATCTGGTCAAACATATCCTAGGAGGATTTACCCAAGTACGCATCAGTTCTGACGTTGACGACGGCCTGCAGGTTGCAGCCGGCAGGGGTGATCTCGAGATGTTTAAACTTCTCGAAGAATACGGGTTCGAACTTAGCAGCAAGGGCAAGGGGCCTGCTTTAATGCATGCAATAGGCAATGGTCATCGCGATGTGGTCAAGCGTCTTCTAGACGGAGGAATTGCTGAAGCAGATATCGTGTCTGCGGTTAACGTTGGCCTCGGGGTTGGAGCACGCTTGGGTGATCTCAAAATGTTTGAATTCCTTGCAGAATACGGATTTAGGATCAGGGGCACAGAGGAGGCGTTTGCTTTAAGGAATGCGATAGGCCACGGTCATTGCAATCTGGTCAAGTTTCTTCTAGATGGAGAACTTGCTGAAACAGACGTCGTTTCTAAGGTGAAGGAAGGCCTGTACTATGCAGCATTCAGGGGCGCACTCGAGATGTTTGAACTTCTCGAAGGATGTGGATTTGAGGTCAGGAGCAGCACATATCTCATCGAAGCAGCGCAAAAGAACTCTCTTCCATTGGTTAGGTTTCTGATGGACCACGACAAGGTTAATATCAATGCCACAGGCACTGAATTTTCGATGACACCTCTTCAATTTGCAGCACAGCATGGCAATATTGCGATGATCAACTTCCTTCTCGACGAGGGGGCTGATATCAATGCCCCAGTAGGGAAGAATGTGTCCCGCTATGGGTCTACACCTCGGACTCGGTGTGCTATTGATCTGGCGAGAGAGCAGGACCATCTTGAAGCGGTTAGGCTTCTTGGCGAGAGGGGGGCAAAGCGATACAATCCTACGGAGGATGAGTGACCTTCTGCGACCTTAGTCTCAAAGCACATCAATCCACTCTCCTCCAACTCGATGTAATGACTGAGTATTCACTCCAAATCCATTGATCTATGAAAGCCTCACCTAACACACTGAGACTACTACTCCGTACAATTAAAATATCTCAACTTGAGCATAGCAAACCTACACCACAGAGTACAGTTTAATTCTATAAGGCAGTTTTGAAAAGAATAAGGAGATCTACTCATCTCATTGACAGGCTCAGGTCCACATCTACAAGGCCACATGGCACTTGGACACATTTCATACATCTGTACAGGAACGCAGAAACGCAAAACAAACAAAAAAACACACAAAATTGGAATACAACACAGAGACATAGAGAGTGGTGTAGAGAGAGAGAGAGAGAGAGAGAGAGGAAATAAGGGCAGGAGGAACCATTGGCTCTGTCAAAAAGATGCCACCTAAATCCATTATTAATGTGCAAGTCCAAAGACCGAACGACCAATAGTTCATAAGAGAGAGCTTTCAAGTGGAAGCCAAAAGTAGAGAAAAGATTTCGTCCCAAATTTGGTTGTCCCAGTGCCATTGAAAGGAGTAAAGGGATAAAAAAAATATTTGGTGAACAAAAGGGGGAATATGTCAAGAAAGAAAGAAAAAAAAAATTTGATAACGCGACACACGCAGCGACGACCAATCATCGCCCAGAGTATCATGTTGAGAAGAAAAGCGGCCGGTCAAAAATTGCACAGAAAGAAGAGATACGTGATATGTGACATGTAAATCCTTGGATGATGGACAATGAAAATGAAGTTTTGTGCAGTCTCTCTGTCCCTGCCTCCGTTAGAGAGTGGGGAGAGCATGAGCACATTGAAAGGAGCAGTTATCTCGGAAGGGAGATAAAGGTCTTCAAAGGCCCGATGCCCTCTGATTTTCGCAGGGTCCAAAAGGAGGTGGGGTGTGATGGAAGAAGTGGTTTATGTCGTATTGTCAAAAGCATGTCTAGTTCCATCCCAACGAGTTCTCCGCCATAACGGGAGCGCTGATCATCTGCGAACGAGCAGTTCCACGGCTACCATGGCTGGGGGCACGGCCACCGGCAGCGAACATCGAACCAGCAGCGGAACCGCCCTGGCTCATCTGCTCAACAGTCGAGCTAGAGCGCCGGTGCAGTTGCTTTCTCTTGCGGTAGCGGCGGGCGACCCAGAACATACCCGCACCATAAGCGGCAGCACCGGCCACAACACCGACTCCGATTCCAACAGAGCTAGCCTTAGCCTTGGAGGTGCCGGCAGAGCCATCGGTGTTTTCGTTGTTGCCACCGCCGGAGCCACCATCACTGCCACCGTTGTTGTTACCGCCAGTCGAGTCGCTAGTACCACTAGGGTAGTTTCCGGAGAACTCGAGGGGAATTGTGGGGTCAACCATCGACATCAATGACTGGATGGATTCGCTAGCCTGGGTGTAGAGAGCAGAGTTAGGGTTAACCTTGAGCGCTTTCAGGGCATCGACCTTGTCACGAGGGAAGTAGAAGATAGCAAGGGTGGCGTTATAGCCCGTGGACTGCCAGTTGTAGTAAGGCTCAATAGCAAACATAACTGGGCCGTCCTTAGCAGAGAGGGCTGGCAGAGCATTCTCAATAGCTTGCGGAGTGTAGTTGAAGATCTGCGACGACGACAAGGGAGTGGTTGCAACAAATGACCAGGGCAGCTGGCTGTTGAAACCAAGCTGGAGCAAGATGGAGTCAGACGGAGGCTCGGTGACCTCGTTCGATGGGGTGATAGAGCCAGGGAGCGACGGTGGTGCCGTGGGCTTCGCGGTCTGACCGGAAGCCGAGCTCTCGGTGGCAGTGACAGTTGGCACAATAAGGATTGTCGATGGCATCCAGTCGTTGTCGTTGGAGGTAGAGGACGTATGCGTCTCCGTCGAGGTCTGAGGTTCCACGGTGGTCTTGGCCGTGCTCACTTCTTCGCTCGTCGAAGTTATCGAGATTGTCGAAGTTGTCGAAGTGGACGAGGGAAGGGGGGTAGAGGCTGGGTGAGAGGTGGGGATGGGAATCTTGGAGCTTTCTTGAGAGCCACTGCTGGGAACAGAGGCGGTAGTGGTAGTGCCCAGCAAAGGAACCGAGGCGGTGCTAGAACCAGAGATAGTTTCAGATCCAGAAGTTGAGGTAGAATCAGAGCCCGGGGAGTGTGGGACAGGAACTGATCCCAGGGTCTTGGTCGAGGTGGGGATAGCACCAGTGTTGATTGGGGTCGGGATGGCACCAGTGGTGGTACCCCCCTGACCAGGAATGATACCAGTCGACTTGGGCGGCAAAAGACTACCATTTGGCATAGACGCAGTCGGGATCAAGGCAGTGCTAGCAGTGCTACCAGTGCCAGTAGAGGTGAGATCAAGCACGGAATCCACACTTGACACGAGACTACTGACGAGACCATCAGAAGTTGAAGTTCCAGAGGGGGTTGGGGTGGTCGACGGTGAGCTGGTAGCGGAAGCAGGCACGCTGACCGGAATGGTAGGTGAGCTCAAAGCGTTCGAGGACACAGTAGCACTTGTGCTGTTCCCAGTGGAAGACTTGTCACCCAAGCCCAAAAGGTCGGCGAGATCCGACCCCGAGCTTGTCATGCTTGAGGCTGCGCTGCTGATCTTGTTGGCGCTAGAAGAGCCGGTGGGTGTCGCAGAGACGGAGCTATTGATTGTGGATTCGCCAATAACGCCGGCCAATCCTGAGGTCAGGTCACCAAGGAGACCGTCGCTGGAGGATGCAGTAGGAGTAGAAGAAGCAGGCGAAGTTACCTTGGCCGATGATTCTGAGGTAAGGGTCGCAGTCGAGGATGCTGTCCCACTCGAGGATGTGGTCGCAGTCAAGGATGCTGTCCCACTCGAGGATGTGGTCGCAGTCAAGGGTGTGCTCGCAGTCGCGGATGCGCTCGCAATCGACGACGTAGAATTACCTCCGAGGAGGTTCCCCAAACCCGAGGTCAAATTGCCGAGGAGACCGTCGCTAGAGGTCGTAGTCGAAGTAGACGTAGTCGAAGGAGACGCGGTCGAAGAAGACGCGGTCGAAGAAGACGCAGTCGAAGAAGACGCGGTCGAAGAAGACGTGGTCGAAGAAGACGCAGTCGAAGAAGACGTGGTCGAAGAAGACGCAGTCGAAGAAGACGCGGTCGAAGAAGACGCAGTCGAAGAAGACGCAGTCGAAGAAGACGCAGTCGAAGAAGACGCAGTCGAAGAAGACGCAGTCGAAGAAGACGCAGTCGAAGAAGACGCAGTCGAAGAAGACGCAGTCGAAGAAGACGCAGTCGAAGAAGACGCAGTCGAAGAAGACGCAGTCGAAGAAGACGCAGTCGAAGAAGACGCAGTCGAAGAAGACGCAGTCGAAGAAGACGCAGTCGAAGAAGACGCAGTCGAAGAAGACGCAGTCGAAGAAGACGCAGTCGAAGAAGACGCAGTCGAAGAAGACGCAGTCGAAGAAGACGCAGTCGAAGAAGACGCAGTCGAAGAAGACGCAGTCGAAGAAGACGCAGTCGAAGAAGACGCAGTCGAAGAAGACGCAGTCGAAGAAGACGCGGTCGAAGAAGACGCAGTCGAAGAAGACGCAGTCGAAGAAGACGCGGTCGAAGAAGACGCAGTCGAAGAAGACGAGGTCGAAGAAGACGCAGTCGAAGAAGACGAGGTCGAAGAAGACGTGGTCGAAGGAGACGTAGCTGGAGTAGATGTAGTCGAAGCCTTGGCTGATGAGTCGACCACCGATCCCTCCTTGCTTGTGGTTCCCGCATCGGTAGATGCGGCCTCGGAGCTCTTCTTGGTAGTGTTCTCGGTACTCGAACTCTCTGTCGTATGCGTAGTCGTGGTAGTGGTACTAGTCGGTTCACCGCCAATGATCGTAGTACCAGTGATACGGTGGGTAATCTCGGGGTTCTTGGGGTCGACTGAGATGGTCACAACAACGACTTCCTGTCCCTTCTGGGGTTGAGCCGGGGCGGAAGTTTCGGGGGTGGGAGTAGCCGTGGATGAAGTAACTTGGGTAGAAGTTAAATTGTCGAATACAGCGTCGAGGATAGAGCCAGGGTCGGGTTCAGCGTTTCTGCGAATCGTTCGCTTGACGTCCTGCGGGAAGTACCAGCGGGGCCGCTGAACGTGCGCTTCTGAAGCATCTTGAGCTGCGACGAGTTCAAGACCGCCTACAGCGAGGAAGGCTGCGAGAACGGAGATGGCGTCGGGACGCATATTGAACAATTCTGTACGTGATAGCTCAGAACGAGTCTAAGGTCAGTGTACAAAAGTGCGATAAACACCGTCTGTTAACAACTCATGAATTATCAGGGGATATGACAATAGGTAGATCGCCTGGAATATTCGAGTTTCCAACACAACAAGACTTCTGACAATTGTGATGAATTCACAATTTCAAGATTATTCCCAGAGTATCTAACGTCTCGATGGCAACCGATGAGACCGAATGGACGTAAATAATAATTCGACGTTAAATGAATGGAAAGGGGGATTTCGATAAATCTGAAACGACCCCCAAAGGCGAAAAAAAACGAGTGTGGGCTTAGAAAAGCTGTAAGGAGCGAACGACGACTTTCTGTAGAACCGTCCGGGCAACGAGATCAAAGAAAGGGAAAACAGGCAATGCGGGCGACCGATGCAAGGGGAGGTTGGCCCAGGTCAAAAACGCCGTTGAGGGTCAACGGGCGAACACAGAAAAGAAAACAGACAAGGGAGAGAAAGAAAGAAGTAAATGAGTGAATGAAGTTGAGGATTAGAGAAGAAGGAGGATCACTCCATCATTAGGGGGGGGAAAGGTGGAATGGGGGGGGCGGCACACGTTGTGGTAGCGTCAACAAGGGTAATTTACGGTAAATTACGTACTCTAGTGTATTTAATGAGCTGGTCCGGGCGTTTGGCAGGTGCGTAGGATGTGGCCACGCACTTGCCCCTGAGCGTTTAGTTATTTGCTTGTGATATCTGCTTTATTCCTACGGAGTACATATAACGTACAATGTTGTATGTTTGAACAATATATCCTGTGACTATAAACTTTCATTGTCTGTATATATGTACCATAAGACTTAGCTCATTTAAAACCTTTCAAGTCAACGTATCCCAAGGCCCTCATCTGAAACTATGTACGGAGTAGCTAAACTACCCTAAAAACTAACCTGCACGATATTTCCAAGACAAGGAAGTTAGGCAGTCTAGCCAGTACTTTGTACATAACGGCAATGATGGGTCACACCATACTCCGTACAGAAAACCATAATGGATAATGAATGTCCATCGGGGAAATCATGAGCCTGTTCCCTATAGGTCCACGATCGTTTTGTATGTACTAGTACATCCGACTGGGGCCTTTTTCGGCATATACAGTATGAAAAGACCGCTGTACGGAGTACAGGTACTCAGATGATATCTCCCTTTACTTTTCCCGTTATGCCGTTCGTCTGTGCAACAATACTATATGTTGTAATCCGGCGACGGCAAATATCAAGACCAACAATCAACAAGATGAGATTTGAAATCAAGATTCGCAACTCATAACCTGACTACAGTATTTCACACATAATATATAATCCAATGCCAGATACGGATTGGAGTATAGACATATAATGTCTAATGCAAGAATGGTCATTCGGTTTTTAAGCAATGTAGCACAATGATGGCAGCACTTAATTTCGGAAAAAAATATAAAATAAAATAAAAACCTCTGCCAAAAAAAAACCACCCGACCAAAAGTCTGTAATAGCGCCTGAAAAGCGTTTTTCATTTCGATCAATAGCCCCGGAGACCATTGACGAAAAGAAATCCAGAATGGAGTCGGGGGTAAACTCGAGCCGCGGATCACAATATAAAAGAAGGAAAAAGGGTAAAAAAAAGCGCAAGTCCTCTGCCAATTGCCTACTAAAGTTTAGTCCGTCGCAAGGTCTAGCCCGGAGGCGTCAACTAAGTGGGTCCCTCCCACACGCGTACCTGAGCGTGTCTAGAATCTCCTTAAGTGCGTGGCCCCAATTACGGCCCTTAGTCTCTTCAGTCTGTGATACACAGGCCTGTTTTTCGCCAGACACCCGGCTCACATTAACATAATTATTGTTAGTGGCTTAAGCTCGTCTTGCCCACTTATCTCCTTTTGGCTTAAGATCAACAAAGAGAATCAGCGTGGGTGTGCTGACTAGCCGCCGAACAGAATGCTTTTCAGTAAAAGAGTTGTCTGGCGTTCTCTGAACGAGGTATAGCCTAGTTCTTCTCATTTTGAAGATTCATGAGACATACAAAATTACCTTAGCTGGCTTGCGAGTCATATGCTGTGCGGCATCATTACAACTAGGTACTAGTTCAATCCACTGTAGAAGTAGGGGATGAGTCCTGGCTCAAAATTGGGTCATTAAAACCCGGCAGATGTTAGGAATGTTTCACACTCTATCAAGGTTTTAGGTTTTATCTCCAGAATAATAGAATTAATAAAAATTAACTGACACGAACACCTGCTCATAGTGTATTCTACAACATACAAACCCTGGATCCGAAGCTGATTGAGCTTCCAAGTTTTAAAAAATGTTAAAATACACCACGTGCTCCTGATCGGAATGGAGGAGGAGTTGGCAGCTGCGATTTCCCCTCATTCTTGTTGTTATTTTCAGATGCTCAGCATTCTTAGTGTGTTTGAGATTGTGCCAACCAATGCCAGATGGCGTAAAATCAATTAAGCCGAGAAATCCCAGTGTCATCTTCGCTAAATTATGTTTTTCCTCTCTAACTACAAGGTCTTGACTCTTTAGCTTTGTTCAAGAGCTTGTGGCTGCATACTGCATGGATCCTCGAAGCCTTTAGAAATGCAGGAACAAAGAACCGAGCATCCAAGCTTATGCGAGAGCCATGGTCCACAGGTTTAATTATAGTTGACTCAGCCACATTCCCTTTGTTTGCTCTAGGAGAGACTCCAGGTCAGCTGGATTTTTGGTTCGCTTCGCTGAAGACATGAACATATCAAGCGTCCATGGATGCTCCCAGTATTTCTTTTAAGAGCCTTTTATACAATAAACTTCCAGGGGCTCGTCAACTGTACCATGGGCGAATACTCCATACGCTAACCCTGTTCCTGAGCGTTACAGCCCCAGTCTCCACCCTTCATCCTTGGTTTCAGCCTGTATTTTTTGAAAAGTGCTGAACAAAAGTTACACACAAATAATGACAGTAATTTCGTAATATTTCCAACCAGGCTGTAAACTATACACCGATCATGTGACTTATTTTCTCGCACATTTGAGCCTTGCGTCCGGTGGAGAGTGTGACGCGAGTTGGACCGCAAAAAGAGCCGTGAAACACTTCGAGTGGAGTTGTCTGCCCTATTCATTCCCCACGTCATCCTCATCCCTGCAGTCCCGTTCAAAGTCTAGAACTGCGTCCATTGCCAGGTTTTGTAACCAGACCAGAGCACTCGATTTCGACATCCGATCCCTGAGGGAGAGACTTGACGGCAATGCAAGTACGCACCTAGAAAAGCCCAGGCCCGATGATAGTGAGAAACGGTCCACTTTTTTAGGAATACCATAAAAGAAAGAGGGATGGATTCCAATCATATTCCCTGTGGAATTCGAAGCTCGTTTCTTTGGCCACAGAGTACTTACCGGCTTAGGATCCGAAAAGAAAGTAGCGTAGACTTCGTTTACAGCCGAGAAATCAGCCATATCCGTGAGGAAGATGTTGACCTTGATTGCATCTTGGAGACTTGACCCTCCAGCCTCTAAAACGGCATTGAGGTTGCGTAGGATTTGTCGCTGTTCACATATCAGAAAATATATCACAAATCAGATGTCGCATCTCTCATACTGTTCGGTCCTGGACGGTCCCCTCCACCATTTTACCTGTGGTCGGGTCTACTCCCAACTGGCCAGAGCAGTAGACCACGTTGCCCACAACCATACCTTGAGATAGAATTGGGGGCGGGACAGGTGCGCCCTTGGTGCTGACGGGGGTGCGTGTTGGCCTGGACATTTTTAGGATTTGAGTCGAAATTATTTGAGTCAGAATGCGATTGAGAAGAATTTGTTGAGAGTCGTGCGAATTATTTGGCCGGCAGGGGGGATTCTGTGGGGATACGGTCGTTATCAATTAGGGATCCCCACATTGACTACTTCCCGAGGTCGGAGCACTCTACAACGATGCGATAGTGAGGCTATAGATATGTTCATTTTCAAAGTACATAATTTAGAATGAAAGCATGATTGATTTTTAATTAGGGAGTAAAAAAAAGCACTCTAGGTATAGATCTTGGTGCTCATGATATATATACTTATGGGTTTCATTTACCCAAAGTTAGCATTATTGCTTATTCTAGATTCTTTATCGACTTGTCTACACCCGGAGAATATGCTAACCCGGTTGTGCCGGCACTATTACCTCCGCTGCCAGACAACGAGAAAGGCAATGTATTGGCCGCAGCCAGTCGCTTCCAGGTTGGAACAAAGACCAGGATGAATGGTATATCTGTATTGAGTGCATTGGGAGTGACAAGCATGGTAAAAATATGTACTCTACCAGCAACTGTGCTAGCTAAGACCCAGTTAGCTAAAAAAAAACACGACTTCTCTGGGTGCTTGCACTAAAGTGCAGATGATATCTCTTGAAATGGGGGTTTGGCACACTGGTGCTTTGGGCGGACTGTAGTGACAGGCGACGCCATACATAAGATATGAAACCTAGAGCATCGACTGATGACTCTATAAAGTGTGCAAAAGTACTGCTTTGAAGCGAGAATTTTCATGTGTGACCATTTCAGGTAACCTCCAACTCCACCCTGGGCGGCTGTACCTATGAAGGATGTGGTCATTATTACAAACAACTTTGGGACATCCATGAGCTGCTTAGGTGGGATCCGAACAAGAAGCCCACCAGTGCTAAAGTCAGTACTTCAATGCAATCTTAAGGATTTCCGACTGTAGAGAGTCAAGACCATTGTAAAGGTAGGTGGGGACTTGGCGCTTCTCTATGCCTACGATGGCTCGATGTTGTTACCAGAAGCGAGACATGTCACTAACCTAGCCTTAAATCCTTCATTTAAACTAAATTTATGCCACAGACTAATGCATAGATATATATATCTATAATTATTTATACTTCACACCTCATGCTTGCCTTGTTAACACAAGGAGTGACCTCAAACAGCACAGACGGCGGGATGTTCAAGTATGACGTCAACATTGCTGACGTAACCTTGCGGGGAAACCGAGCGTTGCTGATCCAGACTCCTTTGGTCCTTCTTCCTCATTCCTTTTCGTTTCTTCTTCAGCCTTCGACTGAGAAGATCTGAGACAAATCATACCGTCCCATCTATTCCCATCATTTTTCTTTTCGAAAGGCCTCTGCAGGACAGACCTAGCCAGGATCAGTACTCTTATTATTGAGCCCCGTAAGTGGATCTGATCGATACAGCCATTAACTACTGCAGAATCACAGACCTTCAATAGCGCTAGAATAAATTGTCAGAATTAAACAACACCTTGAATTTTCACCTATAATCTCGAGGACTTATCATGAGTTCCTCGGCTGCAATGTCAATCAGAAAGTCGGGGCCTCGAGTTATTCGCCCGCCATCTTACCAATCGGTGGTCACGCAGACTTCAAATCGGAGTATATGGCGATGTGCACGAAACGGTCAGGGAGGCAAGACAGAGCGTATCCTACAGCGCTCTGACAAATATCAGCGATGCCCTCCATACAACCAGCGAAAGCCCGAGACTTGCCGTGACCGCAATGCTACTACTCCCAAGGATACATACTCAAGCTGGAGCTGGGCAGCTTGGCTTTCTCAGTCAAGTTTCTCTGACCTCCCCGCTGGCCGAGAGAGAAGGATCTGGGATTCGGATTCGGGGCAAACGCACAAAGACATGGAGTTTTTAAAAAGATACATAGAGGCAGACCCTTACAAAGCCGTCTTTGGGCGCCGATTGGACCCCTTTTCAAATTTCGACAAGAACGAAACTTCATTCGACGGTTTCCTTCAGTCGATCACCAGTATGGAAAAGCCACGCAGTGTTAGACCGAAAGTAGACAAGCGGCAAACGAGAAGTGACGCCAACCATGTTGGACTGCAGTACGATCCTATTAGTGGACGCATGGTGCCGATACCACAGCCCACTACACTCGAATCCAGCAAGCCAGAAGCAGAAAATAACTATCATAAAGCAATTGACTGTCCTTCAGGCACTGAAGTCGACGCAAAATTTGCTCACAACCCCAGTGTGACCGAGGATGGACGGTTTCAGCATGGAAACACGGGACCGAGTCCCGAAGCCCAGTCAAGCTCACAGTCAAGCTCACAGTCAACCATTGACTGTTCTCCAGGCAGTGAGCTAGATATACTCTTCACCTCAACCCCCACCTCTCAGGATGTGCAGGACAGGCTTCAGGTTCCTCGGGAAACCAAACGAAAGCCCTTCATAATAACCGATCACCCTTCTGGAAGTAAATCGGAAACATTGTCTGTTTCTGAATCTGTTCCTTCTGCACAGCCCCAGCAGGACACATCCAAGGTCAATGGAAACACCGATAAACCGAATTTGGATGTCAGTTTGACTGCGAGCACTAACGTAGAATGCCCCCCGGGAAGTGAACTGGAGGCTACGCTCATATCTGATCCTACTAGCCGCTTTGTCCAGGGTTCTCTGTCTGGGTTAGAGACACAAGCCCTGAACAAGCAAACTGAGATTTCAATTGATTGCCCACCAGGCAACGAGGTGGACCCAATACTTTCTTCTGAGCTTGGTAGTCTCGGTGTTAAGTCCACCGGTCCTGTTCGGCAAACGGCTGACACTGCCGCCATGTCGGGCGCCCAAGAAAGCTTTGAGTACTCTCCAGGTAGTGAGACTGAAGCAAAGATTTTATCCGACTCAGCCAGTCAAGGAATTGCCCAACTCAAAGCCCAGACCTCTGTCTATTGTCCTCCTGGAAGCGAAATAGACGCCGAGTTTACTTGCAACACAGAATCAATTAAGGAAAATCAATCACAACCAGAACCACTCATTGGCCTTGACACATCCAAGATAGCCAACAACGTTGTCGACTGTATACCTGGGAATGAATTAGAGGCAAAAATAATTTCTGGTATGGGTCCCAATGAGAATGAGGACCTGAGCGGCCTGGAGGCTAGTAACATTCGCTCTCGCTATGCTCGTTTGGAATCAAAGGTGCAAGCCAATCCGCTAGATTTCGATACTTCTGAGGACCGCGTCAGTGACTTCATTTTCGAAAGCCAGGACCTAGCCACTGAAAAAGGAGAACAACCAGCAGACTCCCAAACTCCTTCCCCGAAATTCCATATTCTCGCTTTTGATACTTCGACGTCGCAAGTCTCAGCCGCACAAGCAGACTCATTCTTCGGCATCGATGATGATAGTCAGCCAATTGAAATTCTGTCTCGACTGCATAATCCTGCCAAATTCCTACCTTATTTGGAGAAAATGCAAGAAGATGGTTACGAAATTGCAACCGGGGGAGGCAACATCCTTGTCTTCCGAAAGACTCAAATCACCCCTTGTCATACCCTCTCAAATACATCAACAGACGAAGAACCAGCTATTCACGCCGAAATTGCCCAGCATCTTCGCCATGACTCAATAAACTCCGCTGCCACATACGCCGGAACTCCCTGGCAATCCACCAGTGAGGTGAGTAGATAGTAGAATTGTCTATTGGTGGTTTCCTAACAAGTCTACTTAGCCTCCTTCAGCAACTAGATCCTCTAGCTCCGCGTCGGAGCCAACCACAAAATCCGAGTCTTCATTTCGCAAAACAGGCCGCAGGATGCTCATCACAAGCACAGCTACCGCAGCGACATGTTACGCTATCGGAGTCATGACCGAGTTCTTCCGCACAGGTGGAAATGATGGGCGGGGAGTTGATGGATTTACTGTGTTTGAGTCAGATCGACGTCGTCGAGAGTAGGCTGTACCGGTGGCAGTTTTCGGGTTTTATTTTGCGATTATTACAAGTCATTCATTGGCGTTCGAGTTCTGGAACAGGAAATTGTCACGTATATTCGATGGATTTTTGGATTTCCTTTTTCTTCCCATCGTGCAAACTCGTGTATCCTACCTACTATTGCCATTTTGTCTCGCGGGATATCAGAGTGCTTTAAAACTAGATCCAGGTATGGAACAAAGACCAACATTGAATATAATCCTCGATGAAGACAGTTAATAGAGTCCACAATGCAATTCTATGAGAGCCTGCTGCACCTATAGCTGTGAATTCGTTGAGGCCTTAATGTCTTGGTTTAGACTAGCATTCCTTTACCGAAAGATCTTTGGAACTCCTTTTTGTTTGAACTCTCCGGAAGGTCTTCCAAACAGGAGCGAAACCTTTTATCTCGTCAGAACATACAATATCAGCCGCAAAGAGCCTAATCATATGTGACATTGTATGAAGACCGAGGGAGAACAACAAAAGAGAATGAATAACGTGTCCCCATATCATAGGCCTGGAAGTGTCATCACGTTTTAGGCACGTTTTGGACAAAACAGTTCAAATCCAGCCCCTTTGCCCCCGGATGATTGGATGCTGCAATACGTATGAGAAATTGAATGTTATTTTCGGTCCATAGGTTACGGACGTGTAGGCAGGAACATGTTGATTTTGCAAGCCGCGCAGGATTTTCATCTGTCTGGAGATTGGCTGAATCGTGGGGACTTGGCGGGATAAATTGACTTAATATACTGTTCTGATTAATAAAGAACCAAGATACTATGAGGAATCAGAAGACTGAAAAGGCTTCCAATAAAGAATGATGGGTGTCTGTGAAAGAAGATGTTAGTTCTGTCATGGAGCAAAGGCTTTAGGTTGATTCAGATTCTGAAGTCACACGCATGTCCAATTTCTGTGAAGTGCCCGAGGGCAGACTCACATCATGTTTTAAGTGCCAGCAATAGGAGCTCCCGTTTAAAAGAAACAGCATATAAGAGAATAAGTCATACTATACGTACCTAGGTATGCTAAGTGGCTAACTATGGATCCAATTTCCAGTCCATAGGCAGCATTAAGCAGAAAAGAGGATGTGTTCACTCTGGAGGTGGGAAGGTCGGGTCGAAAGATTGTGATATTGAGAAAGGGAAAGGGCAAACGAGGGCCAACGATACTGCTTTTATATCATTACATTTGACTGTACTAAAGTGAAAATGGAAGTAGCAAATAGACTGGATTATGTTAAGAGTATTTATCAAGGAGACACACAGAGAGAGAGAGAGAGACGGAGAGAGAGAGAGAGAGAGAGAGAGAGAGAGAGAGAGAGAGAGAGAGAGAGAGAGAGAGAGAGAGAGAGAGAGAGAGAGAGAGAGAGAGAGAGAGAGAGAGAGAGAGAGAGAGAGAGAGAGAGAGAGAGAGAGAGAGAGAGAGAGAGAGAGAGAGAGAGAGAGAGAGAGAGAGAGAGAGAGAGAGAGAGAGAGAGAGAGAGAGAGAGAGAGAGAGAGAGAGAGAGAGAGAGAGAGAGAGAGAGAGAGAGAGAGAGAGAGAGAGAGAGAGAGAGAGAGAGAGAGAGAGAGAGAGAGAGAGAGAGAGAGAGAGAGAGAGAGAGAGAGAGAGAGAGAGAGAGAGAGAGAGAGAGAGAGAGAGAGAGAGAGAGAGAGAGAGAGAGAGAGAGAGAGAGAGAGAGAGAGAGAGAGAGAGAGAGAGAGAGAGAGAGAGAGAGAGAGAGAGAGAGAGAGAGAGAGAGAGAGAGAGAGAGAGAGAGAGAGAGAGAGAGAGAGAGAGAGAGAGAGAGAGAGAGAGAGAGAGAGAGAGAGAGAGAGAGAGAGAGAGACAGAGAGAGAGAGAGAGAGAGACAGAGAGAGAGAGAGACAGAGAAAGAGAGAGAGACAGAGAAAAAAAAAAGAGGGGGATAGATATATGCGAGAACGACCGGAGTCGAACCGGAACAGTCCAGGTAGTGGAAGATCTTCGGCACTTCCCTCGTGGTACACATTGTCATGTTACCACTAGGCCACCTGCTGTTGGGGATACTAGTACTAGGTTGCACTTTCTTTTGATTCACACTATCCTTTGTTTGTGCATAGACAGTGCTACCCCCCTTATGTCACCCCTGTACTTTGCTTTACACAGGCATCCTCTGCAAACTTGGTGATTGTCAAACTTGAATCTAGTGGCTGCTGGAAAGAAATATTCAGACCCAGCTCCAGCTCCTTGAAGATCCAATTCCGCAACTCAGCACCAATCATAATATCAACCCCATAGCTGGCAATAGACCGGCTATTTCCCTCAAACTCGTCTATGTCGAGCATCAACGTACGACCAAGCTTCGCAATAAAGTGTTCGCGCACAGCGTGAACTGCCTGAATTCATTCCATTCCTTCCAACGAAGACAGGATACTTTGACTCCCACCGCCAGCAGATGCATTCTAAATCTGGGACTTCATAGCCCAAACAGTATGATTGAATCGCGCACCCCTTGTGTTTGAGTAACTCCTTGAGCTCGTTGCTCTCCGTGATCACCCCAGCTCCGAGGACCATTGGAGGGACTATGGAGACTGAACTCTGCTGGCGAAAGCATCTAGGTTGCTGTTTCCAGCAGCGTGGTTGCGTTGTCCTTTCCCAATACTCCGGAGATGGAGCTCGTTGGCACAGACTGAGAAAAGAATACAAAGTTGGGAGCTTCTTTCTTCATGAGCTATGATGTAAGGCTACAGCCCAGACCTACGAGACATCCGATGAGGTACGCGGCATCGGCACGTAGTGTCAAGCGAGGGCTAGGGGGCAGGACATTCAAAGTTACCTCTGACATTTCTTGCAAAATGACCGCTTTATCCTTCATGAAGCTATCAGAGAAATATGCCAGGGCACCATCAAGCCCATGAATGTTCTTAAGTGACCGGGGAAAGGTTGTGGGGATGATGGATGGAGAGTCGAAATTAGATTACTCGGTGGACTACCGAATATTGCCAAATTTTAGTTAAGTTACGAGATCATCAATGAACACCACACAACCTTCCAAGGTGCGATGGCAGAAACCCAGGTCGTACAACTAGGAGCAATGTCTTACATGAGATCAAGCATGTAAGAGCAAACATGTATTGCTGTGATTGAACAAGAAGCAATCGGACTTTTGTTCTTGTGGATCCATCAGCACAGGAAGATCAGTGGTTTGTGGGGTCACCCCAGTTTGAGGCCGATTTATATGATTATATCAGCGGCGCCGGCTGGGGTTCGGCCGAACTATGAAAGGGATGGATATCAGGTCTACATTGTACGTTGTGTGTGGTTCACAACCCCTGGGGCCAGTGGGTATAAATCATCCCAAGGTTATCCAGTGCTATATGTGAGCATGCCCCAAACCATGTGTCGAAAGCTATGTTACAATACATGACTGGGAACCCGAGTATTCAACACCTCGGAAAATACATGGACCGCTATGATAGTGGGCCCCATACAAATTGCATATTAAGCTTAGTCAGTTATGCCCCAGCAAATTGTCAAATAGGGGATTCTTGTCATTTTAGTTAGTTAGAGTCATACACATCTGTCATTTTGAAACATATATTGCTGTACTGGTGATTTCCGACAGTTATAAGCCCGGAATCGTTCCATTCGAATAGATCTATCTGCATATAGATCACCTTTCAACCTCGCTGTCGCCGAATTAGTGGATGAATTGATACCTAAGTCAACCCCTGAATCGTCGAAGGCAACCCCTGACTCCTCTAAAAAGTATCGGAAGTCATTAATATACTAGTATTAATATGACTAGACTTCGGCATAACCCACTCTAACCCGGACCCAACCCAACCCAACCCAACCCAAAATGGGTTTTGGGTCTATTACTTCGACCTAACGATGGGTTTTAGATTATAGCTCATAACCCAAAACCCATTAGGTAACCTATTAGGGCCCTAATATAGTGTAAACTAGATAAACAGACTTTTAGTGTGTAACTATATAATTAATATATTTTTTGCTTATAATATTAAGTATTTTACTTATAGCGCTCTTCTAGAAAAAATGGAGAATAAATTAAATAATTGAACTAGGATGTATTTCTCTAATATTACTTAAAATCCTTATCTACCCTACTCTTACGCTTCCTCCCTAAGGCCTATCTCTAAGTTATAGTCTCTGGTAACTCTAGCTTTGTTACCTCTATATCTATATCTATTAAATAAGGAGATATCTCTTATAGTCTATTATCTACTTTTTCCTTTTTATTATCACTAATTAGGTTAAGCTTAGTATCCTTTATATATTTATTATTCTACTCCTTCGCTAACTTAATCTTNCTTTTTATTATCACTAATTAGGTTAAGCTTAGTATCCTTTATATATTT